GGTAACATCTGAAAAAAAATGAGAATTTTTTTAATGCAGGGCATGTAACACAGTCAGGGGAGGTGTGGCTAGGGCTGCATAAACAGAAACAAAAGTGATATAACTCCTAAATGGCAGATAACTGAGCAGTGAAACTTCAGAGGCATGATCTATACACTAAACCTGCTTCATTAAGCTACTGTTGTTTTGGTGACTATAATGTCTCTTTAACAAAACATAAATGTGTCCCCATACATGGATCATCCTATTAAAGTGAGCTACTAATTCATTTTGCTTCAAAATTTTTGTTTTTTTCTCAATGTCTATACTGTCTTTGAGTAATCCCTTATGTCTGCTCTAGGTGACTATTACATTATAACTTAGATTCTATTGTAGAGCTTTATTGATAACTAAAGGGGTGGGGCCTGTATTAGTTTGCTCAATCACATTTAAGTGAGAGCGAAGGGGACCTCTATGGATTGTAGCATCTTTAAGTGGGAGGAGCAATACTGGGAAAACTTTACCACTAGATCACTATTTGCATAATTCAGGGCCCAGTGAGTATCATACATACTTATGTGAGGTGATAAGTATATTACCCTTTATTCTCTGAATGGTTTCTTCTGTACCGGAGGTGTCCAAAATCTGCCATCCAGTTTATGTTGGACAGCAATCATAGAACATATGATTCCTCATCGAATATGCATTACTCCTTCAAACTAATTATCAACGTGTTTGTGTGGTTACAGTGTTTCAATGAGATAGCTGTCAGCGTTAAAAAGATTCCGGTGTGTTTATTCTTCAGTTATCACAAAGGCACTATTGTGATAACACATATTATGTGTGCTACATTTATATTCATAAACCTTGCTTATATTTCTGTATGTCTTCTGTTTTAATTGGGCTATTTTAAGCATCACGATAATACCAAATTTATTTACTCATTTATTTTGCTATTTCAGCATTAACAATATTGCCACGCGAGCAGAATTTAAAAGTCAACCAATATCTAGCATAATTCACATTTGTACACTTGCACTTTCAGACTATATTAAGATCTCACACATTTAAAAAAACTTGTCGAAATACAATAATTAGTATGTTTCCAATGTGCAGAACTTTAAAAGGTAGATTAGGTATAAAATTAGATAAACAAATTATCTTTGCATAAATTATCCTATTTTCTATGTGAAGAAACTATGCCAAAATACATTGAGAAAATGCAGAGATAAGATCAGTTATAAGATATTGACCACAATCTAGAACAATTGTTTATACTATTTTATCTTTTCTATAGAGGTTTTTTACCCTATAGACAGCATTCCATCAACCACATCCTCAGTGGGGCTACTACCCACCTCTGCCTTATGGATTGAGCAATACCACATTGGGATTTGTAAGTTAGCCAGGTGTGATATCTATAGCACGATATGCTGCTACATGTCATGCTTTTATTAATAATGATGTAAAACACACTCTCAACTAGCTAACTTCCCTCCTGTAGCACACAGATCGGATGCTCACTATTCCCTGTTATTATGGAGAGGAACTGCACAGATTGCATCACTAGTTGTAAACTATGGAGTTTGAAAATGTGCCTGTTTTGTGCATGTGTATTTATGTGTCTATATAATAATTATTATTATTGGTATTCAGGGGCGGACTGAGAGCCTTTGGGGCCCCCGGGCAAAATTAGATCCCAGGCCCTTTGAAGGCCAAATATATGTGCATTAAATAAATGTTAAATATAACTCATAAAACGGCATTCCTTTGGATGTGTATATTGCGAAGACCTGTGTATCAATTCATGTTTGTATTTGAGTCTGTGTGAATGCACTTGTGCATGTCTGGATGACTACATGTGCTTTTTTGTATATAGTGTCTGTGTGAATGCATATGTGACAGGTGACAGAGTGTTTGAGGGAGAAGGTGACAGGTGGAAGAGTGTGGGAGGTTGTGACAGGTGGCAGAGTGAGGGGGTACCTGGTGGCAGAGTGAGGGAGGGAGGGGTGGGTTGGTGGCAGAGTGAGGGGGAGACACAGTGAGTGGTGGTGACTGGTGACAGAGTGAGGGAGTGGGTGACTAGTGACAGAGGGATGGAGAGGGGGTGACTAGTGACAGAGGGATGGAGAGGGGGTGACTAGTGACAGAGTTAGGGAATGGGTGACTAGTGGCAGAGTGAGGGAGGGAAGAGGTGACTAGTGGCAAAGTGAGGGAGGGAAGAGGTGACTAGTGACAGAGTGAGGGGATGACTGGTGACAGAGTGAGGGAGTGTAGTGACTAGTGACAGAGGGAGGTAGTGACTAGTGACAGAGGGAGGTAGTGATTAGTGACAGAGTGAGGGAGGGGGTGACTGTCACTAGTCAACCCATCCCTCTCTCTGTCACTAGTCACTCCCTCCCTCACTCTGTCACTAATCACCCCCTCTGTCCCTAGTCACCCCCTTCCTCACTCTGTCACCCCATCCCTCTCTCTGTCACTAGTCACCCCATCCCTCTCTCTGTCACTAGTCACCCCATCCCTCTCTCTGTCACTAGTCTCTCCCTCCCTAACTCTGTCACTGTGAAGGAAGGGATGACTGGTGACAGAGTGAGGGGATGACTGGTGACAGAGTGAGGGAAGGGATGACTAGTGGCAGAGTGAGGGAAGGAAGGGATGACTGGTGACAGAGTGAGGGAATGACTGGTGACAGAGTGAGAGAGGGGGTGACTAGTGACAGAGTAAGGGAGGGAGTGGGTGACTAGTGAGAGTGAGGAAGGGGGTGACACAGTGAAAGAGTGAGGAAGGGGGTGACCCAGTGAGGAAGGGGGTGACCCAGTGAGGAAGGGGGTGACACAGTGACAGAGTGAGGGAGGGGGTGACTAGTGACAGAGTGAAGGAGGTGGTGACTGTCACTAGTCACCCCATCCTTCCCTCTGTCACTAATCACCACCTCCCTCACTCTGTCACTAGTCACCCCTTCCCTCCCTCACTCTGTCACTAGTCACACCCTCTCTTTCTCTGTCACTAGTCACACCCTCTCTCTCTGTCACTAGTCACACCCTTCCTCACTGTCACTAGTCACACCCTCCCTCACTCTGTCACTAGAGTGAGGGGGTGACTAGTGACAGAGTGAGGGAAAGGGTGACTAGTGGCAGAGTGAGGGAAGGAAGGGGTTACTAGTGACAGAGTGAGGGGATGACTGGTGACAGAGGGAGGGAGTGGGTGACCAGTGACAGAGGGAGGGAGGGAGTGGGTGACTAGTGACAGAGGGAGGGGGTGACAGTGACAGAGTGAGGGAGGTGGTGACTGTCACTAGTCACCCTCCACCATAATCTAATTTATTCCCTCCCAACACTAGAAGTGAGGTGACTAGTAAGTAGGGAAGGAAGAGTGACTAGTGACAGAGTATTGAGAGTGTCACTAGTCACCACCTCCCTCACTCTGTCACTAGTCACCACCTCCCTCACTCTGTCACTACTCCCTCCCTCCTTCTGTCACTAGTCACCCCCTCCATCCCTTACTCTGTCACTAGTCACCCCCTCCCTCACTCAGTCACCAGTCATCCCCTCACTCGGTCACTAGTCACCCCCTCACTTTAGTGACAGAGTGAGGGAGGGTGGGACTAGTGACAGAGAGAGGGAGGGGGTAACTAGTGACAGTAAGGAAGGGGATGACTAGTGACAGAGTGAGAGAGGGGGTGACTAGTGACAGAGTGAGGGAGGGGGTGACTGTCATTAGTCACTAGTCACCACCTCCCTTATCTGTCCCTAGTCACTCCTCCCTCTGTCCCTAGTCACCCCCTCCCTCTCTGTGTCACTAGTCACCCCTTCCCTCCCTAACTCTGTCACTAGTCACTACTTCCCTCCCTCACTCTGTCACTAGTCACCCCCTCCCTCACTCTGTCACTAGAGTGAGGGGGTGACTAGTGACAGAGTGAGGGGAGGGGTGATTAGTGGCAGAGTGAGGGAGGTGGTGACTTGACTGGCACTAGTCACCACCTCCCTCACTCTGTCACTAGTCACTACTCCCTCCCTCCTTCTGTCACTAGTCACCCCCTCCGTCCCTTACTCTGTTACTAGTCACCCCCTCCCTCACTCGGTCACCAGTCATCCCCTCCCTTTGTCACCAGTCATCCGCTCACTCTGTCAACAGTCACCCCTTCCTTCCCTCACTCTGCCACTAGTCACCCATTCCCTCACTCTAGTGACAGAGTGAGGGAGAGGGTGACTAGTGACAGAGTGAGGTAGTGATTAGTGACAGAGTGAGGGAGGGAATGGGTGACTAGTGACAGAGTGAGGGAGGGTGTGACTAGTGACAGAATGAGGGAGGGGGTGATGGTCACTAGTCACCTCATCCCTCCCTCTGTCACTAGTCACCCCCTCCC